ACCGTTTTTTAATCCACTCATCTACTGATGGGCACTTAGGCTGTTTCCAAATCTTAGCTATGGTATATTGTGCTGCTATGAACATAGGGGTACCTATATCCTTTCTAATTGGTGTTTCTAGTTTCTTGGGATATATTCCTAGAAGTGGGATCACATGGTCAAATGGGAGTTCCATTTTTAGTTTTTTGAGGAAACTCCATGCTGTTCTCCATGATATTATATTTCTTACATATGTTAGTTGCATAACCTTTAATCACCTCTTCATGTGACTACAATTTTGTAATACTTTTCTTTCTGTACATAAAATAGATAATTCAGCCCTCTCTAACATGAATGATTGAAAAGTGTTTTTTGGTATCTGAGATACAAAAATTATTTGACATCACACACAGACACCCTGACTCTTTGTAGTACAGCTATAGGTTTCTCCTCTACTACTGCAAGAATTTTGATAAATTCTAGTTTATATAATTCCTATCATAAAAGAAAAAACTCTGCAGGCTTTTCTTCTATGCATTGCATTATCAAGAATATTCATGACAGGTAAGAACTCCAATTTGGTCAGGCATTAAGTGAGAATCAAAGGCAGCACTGACACAATTTTATACAACAGGCTTCCCTACAGGGTTTCTTACTACCTGCAGGATGTAGGTATGGGCCCTGTGGCACAAGGTTGCCAACGAATGGTTATTGGTGCCAATTCAGTGCCAACAGGAACCCCCAATGTGTGGTGCAGTGAAGAAGGACACTTTATTCTGTGTAAAACAGCTCAATAGTGATTCAGCTCAGCTGTGAAAACAGCACAGCTGTGAGGCAGCCCTGGGGCCGGGTCCCTCTCCTGCTAGACAGCTCTGCTCCTCTCCTCAATGGTCTGCTCTGCTCTGCTCCTTGCCTGTCTGCTATGTGCTGCGCTGGACTGTCTCTCTCTGCTTTGGTTTCCTTCACTCTGTGCCAGTCATCTCGGGTCTGTGCTGTTCTAGCTAGACACCTCTGGTGTTTCCGCTCAGCTAGGGAAGCACAGTCTTCAGTGAAAGGAAAAGTGTGCCCCCAGAGTTAGAAAGCTGGTTTATATGGATAGAAGTCCCTGCCTCTGCTCCCTGATTGGCCTGTCTTCATGTAAATGAGGACTCCAAATCCTTACAGTTTGATTGGTCCAAAAGGCACTGTCTTGATAGGACAAAATAGAGCCACTCTGAGTGGTCTGAGCTGTGCAGCTCCAATTGGATAGGGAAAGCCTCAGTCCTATGGGTTGAAATAGGATTCCAGGAACTCCTTTATAAGGGCTGGCTCAATGGCAGAACACAGTGCAGGCAGGCAGTTCCGTGCAGCCTTCTTCCCGAAGTGCAGTTTGTATGAGAGGGCCCTGTGCAGAAATGGCTGCTAGGCTCTATTTTGTTTTGTTTTTGTTGTTTTTATTTTATTTTAGCCCATTTAGCCACCAGAATCCCTTCTTAGTAGGTGTCTTCTTTCTCAGTGTTCACATTTTATGCCACAAGGTCATGCAACGATTGTCCCCTTGTCATGACCCAAGAGGAGATGATGTTGCAGGCAGTAGGAGGAATCCTGAAGCCATTACTACACTAGCACAGCTAGCGATTATGTGACTATACTCAGAGTTGATTGTAAACCCTGTATCCCAACAAAATCCAATACAAATGTACTTCTCCCAAAAGCTTTCCCTCAGCTTTGTCCTAAAAATACCCACAGCCACTCAACACCATGTTACTGAAAGGGAAGTGTGATAGCAGGCAAGACAGAGTGAACGGGAGGTCACTTTTTTCGCTATTGTTAAACATCCAACAGCTTCTCTTCAAGTGTCTCAGTTATGTCCTTTGCTCATTTTTCTCTAGAAGTGACTGTCATTTTCCCTAGTGATTTTTTTAAGTATTATCAATCTTAACACTTTGGCTTGTTATATTTTAAGGCGTGTAGAATGGTCCAAAAGTCACTCTGAGAACTTACTCACCACAAAAACATGTGACCATGTGAGTACTTTGGCAGTTTCTAGAACTTGCCAAGGGCTGTGCTGGGGTGGGGCCTGAAACAGGCTTCATTAGCCTTTTGAGAAATTTGTCTCTGGCTCAGACCAATAGAACAGAGGTTCTGATGAAATTTTAAGAGACTGCTGTCATTGAGAAATCAGTCCCTGCATAGCTCCCTTTTGCTTCCCCAGTTGTCCCTTATCTTTCCCTTCTGGTCCCAGTATTACACTGTGGCTTGTGTGGTGGGTAGGGAGGGAGGAGGGCACGTTGGGATTGACTAGAAAAGACAAATCCAGACCTCTGGGTCTGACACTTGGGCTGAAGATTTCTTTGAGACTTGATTTCTGCTTCCTTATGGTCTTGGAGTTCCCTCTGCAGGGTATGAATGAGAAGAGAAATACCTATAGGAAAAGAAAACTATACTAACACTTTACAATGGCATCCTGAACAGCTGAACAAAGGAATTAAAATAGCTCATGGGTATTAGATTTCTCCCAAGGCGAACAGCCCTGTATAGCAGTGAGTGCTGTGGGCCTCCCTTACTGCCTTAGTTGTCTGTCTCTAAGTGGACAGCCATTCCCTTTTGCTTTAGGAGAATGTTCAAAAACCTGCTTCTTGAGAAATGTCTGCATCACAGGTAGATTTGAAACCCTCCCCCTCCCCCCTCCCCCATTGGAATCTCCCCTTAAGTTCTTTCAGATGACGGGTTAAAGTATAACTGTTTCTCTGGAACAGACTATTAACCAGGTTTAGTTTCTAAAGTCAATTTAGCAGTCTACTTACAGTACTGATGAAATGTGAGAACAAGACAGGTAGGTTTTGATGCTAACAGTCTAGAAAGACAAGGGCAGTGAGATGATAGGAGGGTGTCAAGAAGAGCAGAAAACCAATCACCTTTCACAATTTAACCTAGATCGAAATGTGAACCTTTATCTTCTCATATTGTCCTGTTAGCCGCTGGGGTGTTGGGTATCGGTTTCATATGATTTCAAATCCGCTTGCTTATGACCTAAGTGACGTTTTAATCCACTTTTTAGGACCCAAACAATGTTGCTTCGATATATGGATGAAGTAAGTCTTGCCAGGATGCCATCCTTCTACGTTTGTTGTCTTTGTAAAGTAGTCAGCTGCCCAGCTGCGGAGGGGCCCTGCTAGGGGCCTAACAATAAGAACGTTGTGGAGAAACAACTATGGCAAAGGGCATCTAGACTGTAAATATTGAGCATTTGTGGGGACTATTTGGGAGTTGCAGTTTGTACCAGGTGACTCTTCGCTAACCTAACAATTTTCTAAAAACCCTGGGGGCATTGACAATAGACATTGGTGATGAGCCACCCAAAGACTCAGTGAAAGAGATCTGCCCACCCACCAACCCTGACTTCTTGTTCCCAGGCAACGTGCTATAGCAACGGGAAATTTCACTTTTGCAGGCAGCTGGAAACCAGCGCTTGGTTGAACACAGACCTTCCTGAGGGCCTGCTCTCCTGAGGGCTTCCCCACTATACAGGGGTACATCTCGTATTAAATTTGGAATTTATTCCTTCACTTCCCCTTTCCTAGAAGAATAGCATGATTAAGCTATCATTTGTTTGGAGTATGTTATTTCTTTGTTTGGCTTATTAAGAAGAGATAACATCCCATATGCTATTATCTTGTGAAATTATTATAATTCCCACAGTGAACCTGTGCTAAATAAATTGCTGGCAAATACAGAATCAGTCTCTGAGTATAATTTTGTTGCATCCCCAAAACAAAATCAAAACACTTGGGAAGGAATATTACTTATTAAATTAGGAATGTAAGAGAAAAAAATTTAATTTGAAAATTTAAGCAACTCAGTTAAGGTAAAGCATCATTTAAATTACGTTTTTCTTGTATCTGGCGGTGGGGGCGGGCAAGGGGGAGACAAACCTAAAATCCCCCACTGCCTAATTAGCATGTGTAGAAACACTAGACAGTAGAAACTAAAGTATACGACCAAATAAAAAGAAAGGTTCCCTCTCACCCCAATTATCCCTCAGAAAATGGACAATTATATTCCGTCCTTACTAATATATTATTTAGAACCAAAGACTATCTTGAGAAAGTCATATAGTCTGGAAAGTGGCTTAATCAGTGTTCATTTGCCATGCTAACAGAATAGGTGGGAAGCCAAAGAATTGTTTTCAGTTCAATTGAGGTATAATTTACATATCATAAAATTCACCTACTTTAATTGTGCATTTTGGTAAAGTTTAGTACATTTATGTAGTCTGGCATATAGTCTGGCATTTATATAGTAATGTATTAGACCAATTCCATTATCCCCAAAATGTTACTAACCCCTGCCGCCACCCACCTCAGCACCAGGCAACCACTTATTTGGTTTCTATCACCAAGTTTTGCATTAGTAGATGTACAAATAGAATCATACAATGTACTCTCTATCCTTGTTCCTTTGACTCACAGGAAGTTTTTGAGATTTACCCATGTTATTGCATGTAGTAGTTTTATACTTAATTTCTTATTGGGATAAAACATACCATTTAATCATAAATTTGCCATTGTAACCACTTTTATTGTGTTTGTGACATTGTGATTAATTATAAGAATATGTATTTGGTCTTTGTCCCAGTGTCTGGCACAGAGCTCCTAAAACTGAATTTCCTGAATGAGGAGAACAATGGATGTCTTTTGTTATGTTAATGAGATGACTTTTGGAAAGCCCCTAAATCTTCTAAGAATGAGGGCTGAGTGCCAAGTGATTGGAGGGGTAGAATTTTCAATCTCCCATCTGACCTCCAGGGAGCAGGGAGGGGCTGGAGGATGAATTTATTGCTAATGGCCAATAATTTAATCACTTGTGACTAAATAATGAAGCCTCACAAAACAAACAAACAAACAAAACAAAAAACCTTCCTTAAAGGACAGATTTGGAGAGCTTCCAGGGTGAAGGTGAGGAGATCTGAGGGCCTCCCCCCCGACCCCGGCACAACTTCGCGCGGCCTGGCGACCCTCGTGCCTGCCTCGGTTCCTTACCCAAATACTGCCGCAGGTCGAGCAGGAAGCGAGGGGGTCCCCCGCTGAGCTGGTAGAAGAGGGAGCCCAGGCAGAAGACCAGCAGGGTGGCCATGCAGAAACCGTAGTCCCGGAGGGAGAGGCGCAGGAAAGGAAGCTGGGAGACCCAGCGCTTCCAGCTGCCCAGGCCGGGG